GGGGGGGGGGTTGGAACTCCTCATCTAATTTCATATTGATAAATTCTTGAAAACATTGTTTCTTTATTTTCAGCATTTATGTATTTTTATTGTGCTTTTAATGTTGATGTTAAGAAAAGAAAATAGTTTTCATTTCACTACTGCAGCTAGCATTTAATAACTGCCAACTAAAATTACACGTAAAACGTTGTGTGTGTAATATTTAATTTTTTATAGTTAATAATATGTCGGTGTTAAATGTTTCCAACTCGCTTACTACTTATAATGAACACCTTTGATTGAGAATCAGTGTTTTTGTTTTTTGCAGGATGTGCAGGCGTTTTGGTTGGCTATCCTTTAGATACAGTCAAGGTAAGTAACTCATAACTGTTCAACTGAAAAGGGTTATGCATTTTAGGTTCAAGTTATGTCGCTTATCTCTCTTATAAGAACTTTTGTACTGAAACGTTCTCACCTTTCTATGTAAGGCTTGAAACTGGACAGACGTTTCGATACTTTTAAAATTAAAGCCTTGGACTTTTTATTTAAAATAGTAATAATAATAATAATTACCTAGTTTACATCTTGGCTATAAAGTTATATATAATTGTATGATTACTGAATCTTAATAAATTCTTTATTGAACGTAAATATCAAAGTAATTGATACGGAGCTGTGTAGAATGGATGTAATGATGGCTGAATTGTAATATTTTACTGCGTTTACTGAATTGGTGTGATTGAAACACCCATAATATATCAGACTCCCTCTATTATACGAAAATTAACTGTATTAAAGTACAGTAATGTGCTGGTAGTTTACACTGTGATTGGCTGGTATCCACCCAATCGTAGTGCCTCATCAGCATTTTGTTTATAAAAGTACAGGCAGCCATACTGTTCCTAACGATATTATGGTGAATGCAGTTATTGTTCCTGTGAAAGAAATGTCATGTAAAAACTGTATAAATCAGTTTTGGCTGGTGAAGACTACTACTCCACATGATAGATTGAGGCAAAATTCCATGTTTCTTTCAAAAGCTGTGTTGAAACTCCTAAGAGGGTATACGGAACTAATACTGTTGGTAATAGAAACGATCGAAAGCCGGGATCCCATTAGAAATTATGTTAAGTAACTCACGATATGCTCTTTACGCAATACCGACAATCCAATATAGACCATGCCAACGATCTAGCTGTAAGTACAGGTATGAATGTTACTTCCATAACAGAAAGATGCACATTATCAACAAGTGGTCTCAATGAATGTGTAGCTCCTCAAAAAACATAGCATAGACAAAATAGAGATAATGAAACCGAAACAAAAAAAAAGGGGCATCATACTTCAACCTATGAGATAAACAAGACTAAAAGTGTGTGTAAGTAAGTTAGAAACAATTAATGAAGGTTTGTTCGATGGCAGAGAGGAGAATGCTATGTTAACATACAGCATCTGTAGTTAATCATGCTGAGGAACCAATGCAAGTGTGAACTACATCTCAACCAATGATGCTGGAGATCTGCACAAAGGAGATTGCACCCTCACTGCTGGACGGTAAATATACACATTTTGAGTCATTACGTCATTCCCTCAGGAGCAAGACCTGTTGGACAGGAATTTATATTCTAATAGGACAGTGATCCTAAGCAGTAAAGAATTATGATGAAACAATATCTGGAAGAAACAAGGGATAATGGGAAAACTCACAACCATGGCATCACATGTACATTTCCAATACTGTATACAGGGTGATTCAGAAATGAGGAGGTGTATGAAAAGAATTGTCAATTATATGGCATTAGGTGCTGTGGGCATACCCTGTGATTATATCATTGGGTTTATTCAATGCCACTTTCAAGAAAACATGCTCGCCCTTTCACCTGTGGCAGCGTTATAATGTGACTTGTCAATTCAGCTATTCGTTGGCAAAGAGTAGCCCAAGAGTTGGCGGTGGGTGCAGCCAGTTACCTATCTTATGATCGGCGGTTCAAAATTAGGGACAGCAGAGTCTTAGAAGCTTTGCCTTCAACAAACAATTCATTCAAGATAATATCCTTCGAAACTTGCTAATATACATCATACATAAAAAATGCCAATATCAAAGGTGTAGACAATAACAAATTAAACATCTTAAACCAAAAATTGTTTTACAACAACTAAAACCTAGCCCTGTGCTGTAGTGCTGTAAAACATAAAGGTAGTCTTCATGTCATACAGCAATGATGTTTAGAGAAATTGAAACCGATGAGTTATTTTTGGGTTATGAAACGTAAAGAATCGCTTGCACCAGTTTTTCATTTTGGCTAAGGGCCAAGAAAGTGTGAATGTCATCTGTTTTGGGTAACCTGTGTCGTTGAATCTTGGCAGTGGCACAGAATTTGATATTGAAATATTCTTTAATTTGAACTAGTAGTGAATCCAGTAGTTGATTTTAAACTTCTGAAGAGAGTGGGGAGATATAATCGTTGATTTCTTGGCACGTTCTATATGATAATATGCACAAAGCGGGAAACTCTAAGGTTATATTTTTATTAGACATGATTAATTGACATAAATGGTCTATTAAATATGATTGCATAAAGTTTTTGAGGTACGCTTACCCTTATCAAAACACTGATTACATTATAAAACAACAAAAACTGGACCTAAACATTTCAACCTACAGATCTAAAGAGCTGCATAAGTTCTCATCAGTTCCGTTTTAATTACACATCTGATTTTATTTTTAAGCTTTTGAGACAATACTCGCCTATTATCAATGAAAAGTGTAATGACTGAAACATACTTGTTTCACTCACGAATAAGTGAATCACTTTTGAAATGTATGGGTTACTGATAACTTTTGAACAGTGAAAGTTTATTGTGTGTTCAGACGTGTATTTTTTTTAATACAAAAATGCTTACATCTGTAAACTCAAAATGTTTGACGTTTCGGCCGAAAAACTTTATGTATAGGTATAAAAATGCATAAAATATGAAGTATATCAAATAAAATTGCATGTGAAGCGTTGTGTGTGTGTGTGTAATATTTAGCTTGTATATGTTTTGATAGTCAAAGGAAATGAATAGTCTATTTGTTGCTTTAGCTTTTTTTTTTTTTCAGGTAACTTTTTACTGACACTTCAACTTAGGCTATTTACTTAAAGCTTAGAATGGGGGTTTCATGAGTGACAGTGTGAAATTACTAAGGAATTATAAGACACCGAAACTTAAATTAAATTTTTTCTCATATGATTTGTTTGTATGATTTGTGTCGATAGATTTTTTATCAGTGATAAAAATTACAAAAGGTTATGAATGTATTATTCTGAACGTTGTTTAATGCAAACTATAAACGTAAATAACAACACGACCTATATTTCCAGAATCTATCTTTTATTAGCTCAATATTTCGCTATTACAGCTTAGTCAGGAGCTATCGATATGGATATTGTAGGATATCGATATCACCTGATGTAGTTATGGATGTTTGTTCTCACAATTCTGTCAGTCAATCCGTTACGAATTTCAAATTAGGTATGTGCAAAAATATATTTTTTCACTCCGACACAAGTCTAGTCAGTAGGCCTTTTATGTCATACCACAACTCGTCAACTGAGCTGGACACGTGGGCAAAGAAGTCCACCCAAAATACTATGTATACAGCACGAAGAAGAATAACTGCAGTGTACTCTAGTGTGATTTTAGGTCTTATTGGCTTCATTGCTTCGCAATCGTTCAGCTGTTCATAACCGTAACTTGTACTTTTTTGCACAGCATATAAATAGGGTTGTGGATAGGCTATTTTATCAATCCAGTTGTGGTTTAATTTACACGCTAGAGGAGATTAGCACAGGCTCTCTTCCCTCCAATGAGGAGTCCCCTTGCAGCACAATCCGAACACTTTAACCGTGCAGTACTTTCCTTAAAAAAATTTTTTGTTTAGAAAATGTTCACTTTTTCTAGGTTTCTTTCAGTGAGGTATGAATACTACGATTAGTAACTACTAGCACAAACGGCTGCCTGCAGGGCTGCGTTTCTGGTAGTTAAAGTAATTGTCGTTCAGGAAAGTTAAAAAAATTATATTTACATCAATAATAGGCGTAATGCTCCAACTTTAGGCCTAGCTGTATCTATAGTAGTGTTACGTCTCTGTGTTCGTTTGTTAATTTTCCGTAGAAATTCTTTCCGAAAAACTTCAGCAATACA